GAAATCTTTCATCTCCAGAAGGTATAAGTCTGTTTGTAATAATTTTTTGTCGATCTCTAACTTCATAACCTTAGTCATCCGATTTGTACAAAGAGTTCTTCCTGAAGGGATGCTAACCTCTAATTCATTATTCGTTTTCACACATGCAAAGTTTGACCTAGCAGCGAAGGATGCAGAGATAAAAGAATTGGTAGCCCCAGAATCAAAAAGTACGTAAGCGGGCACATCAGATAATAACAGAATACTTATTTGTAGTTATAGTGTTAGACTAGCAACTAAGGGACAGAGATAAAATAATGTATGGTCCTAGGTAAAAAGAACATAATCACGTATGTTGAAAATATTAATAATAAAATACCTGCAATCATATTCGGATCCTGCTCCGCCTCATGTTGATTCAGCGTAAAAACTCGAGCCTTTGCTTTTTTATTCTTGTCTTGATCACCATCCTTCTTCTTTGGAGGCTTTGTGCAGTTGAGGGCAATGTGTCCCGACTTACCACACCGAAAACACATGTTCTTCCCAAGTAAACATTCACCTCTGTGGAGTTTATTATACTTAGGACAGGGTGAAATACTCCCACTCATCCCACCAATACGAACTCCTGTGCTTAGTCTTTTATTTTGCCAGTTACGTCTGTTCTTGTTCTGATCACTCTACTTTCTTTTTTCCAACGACTCCCTGCTCTGCTGGGCATACTGTCCAAATGTTGTCCTATGATATGAAATAGCATGGGCTCTCTCCAACGTCTCACAATATGAGGTGAAACGATGGGACATAATGATCATGTCGATCTCTGAGCGCAGTCCATTTTCAAACCTCCTAATCTTTTAACTTCAGTATCCACTAAGTACAGGGAATATCTTGGGAGCTGCTCAAAATGCCTCTCATAATTAGTAAGCAACACGTCTCCCTGCTTGAGCTGTAAAAACTCTGATTCCTTGAAATCTCTAAAAGCCTGTGGAAAATATTTTGCCATCACTTCATCCATAAACTGCTCCCAAGTCAAGTTACGTTGCTACTCTTCCGTCCTAGTGCGTGAAACAGATTCCCACCAGTGACTATCTACTCCAACAAACATAAATTATGCGCATAGCACTTTTTATGCATCCGTACAAGCGATGTGTCGAAAGATGCGCTCTAAACCTCTAATCCATTTCTCAACAGCCAGTGGGTTGGAACCACCATCGAAAGTCGGAGGCTTGTACCTACGAAATTGCTCAACCACCGAGATGGCTCCCGAGACAAATGAAGGTGCATTTTGTTGTGGCAGTACATTCTGTGGTGGTGGCGGTGCTTGGCTTTGTTTGCTAAGCTCTTGTACGACTCGTAGTAAATCGCGCATCAAGTTTATGTGACTAGGTGGTGCCATTTCCTAGAATTTAATTTGAAATTACCAGTCATATTCCAGTACTAAGTCTAAAAAGTTGTACTTATTTTATCGTATGCATATCATAAATTTAACGAGAAAAATAATCTTAAAAATTTAAAGATATGCAATTTAAAATATTTAAATCATGCAAAATGTTTAAGTATATTCATCTTCTTACCCCTTTTTGCATACCTTAGGGTGGTCGGAGGATGGTCGATTGGTGGTCGTTGAGTGCCAAAGATCACTCATATATTTAATAACTTTAAATTATTATTATCGTTAAATTCATAAATCTTCAGAAAAAATATTAACCTTTAACAAATATTACGCAATGAAACAAATAAACATTTTATTACACGTAACATTTATAATGTGTAAAATCCAATGTTTTTATATATATATATATCATCAAAATTTATTTATTTATTTATTTATTATTATTATTATTATTATTATTATTATTATTATTATTTCATGGGGAATTACATCAAAATTTTAGCTACTAGAAAATATCATATACTAGTGCATTATAAATTTCACCAATTTAAAAAAAATCTAGTAACTAAGTAATTTAGTGATTATTGTGGCTAAACATAAAATTTATTCTAAGAAAAGTATTTCTAAAAAGTCTATAAATACATACACACATAAACTATTTAAACAAACACACTTTTTTTTTTTTAATTTTTATTTTAAACTGTTCACGGTTTGAACAGTGACCCATCATTGTTCACCATATAAAAATTTTAAAACATGTATCAGAAAATCATATCGTCTCATATCTTTAAATCTGGTAAGAGCTCATATCATATTATATCATATCATTGTACTAGAATGGCCATATCATTCATATCATAGCATATCACATCATAATTTTAACTTTCATGAGTACAAAATTCATCAACATGAAAAAAATATTTAAACATGATAGAAAAATACTGCACCTCAATATCCTACCTCGTAATAAATCGATTTTTTGGAAGACAAACTCCAAATTCACGTTTCAAACTTATTTTTTTGTATTTGTTACTGCTATCACCGTGTATGGGTGTCTAAAGGTGAAAGAGAATATTGAATTTTAATAGGCCTAAAAGTCTTTCAAAGAAACGAGTTTTTTCCCCCTCATAAAGAGTCTCAATTATATACAATCACTATTTCTTCCCTACCTAATCAACATGTGGTAACCTATCACTATCATCTCCCAACAACCTAGGCAAATAAATTATTTTAAAATAAAACTATCTATCTATATTTTAATATACACGTGCACTAACAACTCCCAATCAATTCAAAATAAAAATAAAACACTCCATACACGTGACACGTGGCGGGTACATTTTCATAAAAGGTTAAAATTAAATTGTAAAACTAGTTTTCATCTACATTTTTCAAACTGAAATATCTTGGAGCTTATTTATTGAAATCGACTTTTTCTTGGGCATAATATATATAATTAATTACGAGCTATCCAACGAGTACAATATCGATATATTTATTATTACTCGATCTATATTTAAATATTTGACCAAATTAAAATTGAATTTATTGTATTTATCATTTTAGTCCCCTAACTTTCCAAATTTGAAAAATATAGTATGAAAGTAAATAAATTCTAGTATATGCGAATTTTCGGGGCTTTACAACCCCCCTCCTCGAAACCGTTGATGGTCAGAATGCCTTTCATTTTGCTTAAAATATTTGGTGAGCACTTGTATATATCATAATACTCGCCTTATTTACAACAGTTGGAGTCATTTTCCTGATTGCATTTCCCTTTCCGTGGTTTTTTGCCCTTAATCTTGCCACCAGGCTTGCAGGATTTAACCCTCTAAATTCAAGGCCATAATAAGCAGAAACATAATGAGAACTGGGAAATTCAATAATGTGTTCTGCAAGTTGGTTCCCAGCTTTTACATACTGTATGTATAGCATAATTTAGTTCTTATCTGGGCTGCAAAGATGATTGACATAATCAAGGGAATCGTTGTGACTTCACCATATTCTAGGCCGATCAATTTAATATCAAGATTCAAGATGGGTCCCTTATCGAATCTCTGCCTTGTTAGTGAACTATTCGTCGTTTCAGCACAAGTAAACCTAAGTGAATGTCCTTTGGATCTTATTCCGGAGGCAGCAACAGATTTATATTGTATATAATTCTGATCTATATTAGGACTGCCCAGTTTTGAGAGAGAATAACAAAATGTCATCTTTAATTCACGAGTCTTGACTAAGGTACAATCATTGTGTGATTGGTGATGGTAGACTCAATTCATTCTGTACATTTACACTGATGAAACCACTGCATAAAGACAAATACAAGAGAAACAAGAAATGAAACACTTAGTTGGTCCATTTCTCACAAGATTAATATCGGTCCTAATTATCTGTGGGTGGCAACATATAAATTATGAATCAAATGATTCATATCTTGAATGATGTCTAGTTTAGTAGGACCATTGATTAATATAAGTTGCCCTCTGCTATTCTCAGCCATAGGAATCATCATCGTACTCTTTGTCTCTGCTTAATCGTAAATTATATTTTCCTTGACGGGATAGGAGCAGTTTTAATTTGTAGGACTCTTGAGCAATAAGATAATTTTCAAGTGATAAATTAGTAAGCTAGGAAGTGATAATATATGCTTAACACACTCTAATTTGTACACACACACACACAATACTTTACTAGATCATATTCGAAAAAATGTGAAATTATTGTGCTAGGAGTTGGACCATAGACATCTTCCTATTAAGGCACCTTCCTCCTCCACTCTAGCATCCATTCGATACTGTGACAATAGGCATATATCATCATAGTGCAAGTTCTTGTCAAATTCTGATGGCACACCACCATCTCTACAGTTCTCGAAACTATTAAGGGTCAGAATTGCCTTGCATAGATTTTCCCAATTGATAATGCCAAAATAATTCACAATATACCAAAGTGTTAGGCATTATGTTTGCTGAAAGTGATAGGGGAATCAGATATTCCAGTGGACTGTTCTCCGGATTCCGCCAGCAATTTACTCCATTTTCAAATATTATATAAGACTGTGCCGTGGCTGATAGGTTCCTTTTTGTATTGTTTTCTTATCTTAATAATAATAGCAGAAGTCGGATTATTCTAGAGAAGATATAGACCTTTTAGATGAGACGAGTTAGAATGGTATGAGAGTAGCTGAAATAGTCACGGGTATAATTCTGGCCTCAACTCATTTGTGACCTAGGGCTGCAAGTGTGTTGATGAAAAATATAAATAAAGAAATGAGCCCTGCCTCTAATAGCTTAGTCTTTAGATATGATGATTTAACAAGTGTGTAAAGGAAAGACGGGGCATTGCTTAATATAAATTTTCACTAAGACAGGAAAGTGGACTGTTGCAGTGATTTGAGAAAATTTTAGTCATTTACAAATCACAGATAATTTACCATCACTCACAGTTCGTTTGAACCCTTCAATGGACTTTATGACTAAATAACATTAACAATCTTCATGAATACTCTTTAGTACCTTGAGCACAATCTTGGCATTTTCTGTGGCCAAACTTATATAAACCAATTAGTTGATCACGCTTTTCACCAAAACAAATCATTTCAATAGTGGGCTTTGAGCGATCGAAAGAAAAGATGAAGAACTTTAGCTTAGGAGCACTTCTTTTTGTAGTACTCTTTCTTGCTACTCATTTCTCAGAGGCTAGACTTCAAGGGTGCAAGCCAAGTGGCAATATAATTGGAAAAAAGCCACCTCCTGGACAATGTAACCAAGAAAATGACTCCGACTGCTGCAAACAGGGAAAGTCTTATCCCACCTACAAATGTTCACCTCCCGTGTCAGGAAGCACAAAGGCGGTCCTTACCATTAATAGTTTTGAAAAGGGTGGAGATGGAGGTGCGCCATCAGAATGTGACAACAAATACCACTCTGATAACACACCAGTCGTTGCACTATCAACTGGATGGTACAGTGGAGGGTCAAGGTGCCTTAACAATATCACAGTAAGTGCTAATGGTCGAAGTGTCACTGCTATGGTTGTTGATGAATGTGATTCTACAATGGGATGTGATGACGACCATGATTATCAGCCTCCATGTCCTAATAACATTGTTGACGCTTCCAAGGCCGTCTGGAAAGCCTTAGGAGTGCCTGAAGATAACTGGGGCGACTTGGATATTACTTGGTCTGATGCCTAGTAATATTAATAGTGTTTTCAATTTATGATATTGTAAATTGATACTCCATGTATTATATATACACACTGAAGCATATTTTGTATTTGTTGTCTCATTTGTTGGTTTAGGATTCTGTTTGTATAGTAATTTCCTTAATGAATGAATGAAAATATACTTTTGTATAATAAATTCCCTGTTGTGTTGATAATTCACTGGCATAATTTTTTATAAATTAAACTTTAGGAAGACAGGTTGATTCTAGGATTGATCTCCAATAATTCCTATTGTAAATTATCCTCTAGTGAAAAAGATAAGCTTATCCTCTTGGATTCTTGCAGCACCATCTGAACTCGAACTAGTCGAGGTAGATAACAAATTATAAAGAAGAACCCTTTTTTTTTTTTTTTTTCTCTCTCTCTCTCTCTCTCTCTCTCTCTCTCTCTCAATGTAAGATATGAGTTATAAAATGGCATTCTCATCTCAAGTAGTTATATTGTGCAACACTCTACATTTCAAAGCTATCTAAAAAATGCTTCCGCATCAGAGAGAACCGTCCAACGCCATATCCAATGACACGTACAAATGCCTAAATCGAATTTCAAGTATTACTATTGTCACTCTCTTTTATATGAACAAGAATCAGCTCAAAATCCTCCTAAGAAAAAACGGTGGGTAGGTTAGTGAACATGTATCATAATAGAATTCCTGTTTACTGGACCTGACAGAACTATTAAAGAAGAAAATCAAGTTAATTTTTTTTATACAATACTAACCAGCATTATTAACAAACACGCCCTAAAACTTTTCAGCAATAAAAATTCAAACAGGACGAAATACAGGACAAGATAGCAGGCCTTATAAGTAAAGGTACTAAGGGGTCGTTATCAATCTTACTTGAAAAATCCTTTGGATCATTTGAGTTAAACATAATTAATAATCTTAATTGAATTCTAATCTTAGATAATGTTTTCAATCTTGAGCACAATCTTGTCATTTTGTTGGTCCAAACTATTATAAAACCCCCAAGTACTTGATCCTGCTCTCAATACCTGTGCACGGAGAAGCAAAGTAAAATCATGAAGAAAATAAGCTTAGGAGCATTACTTATTGTACTAGTTTCTCTTGTGCCTCGTTCTTCAGATGCAAGGTTCCAAGTTTGCAAACCAAGTGGAAAAATAAAGGGCACAAAGCCACCTCCTGGTAAATGTGTCGAGGATAATGACTCCTTCTGCTGTATTCCGGGGAAGCTCTACCCCACCTACAAATGTTCCCCTCCCGTGTCTGGAACCACCAAGGCAATTCTAACCCTTAACAGTTTCGAGAAGGGTGGAGATGGTGGTGTGCCATCAAAATGCGACAAGAAGTACCACTCTGATGATACACCAGTTATCGCACTATCAACTGGATGGTACAATGGAGGGAGAAGGTGCTTTCAGAACATTACCATAAGTTCTAATGGCCAAATGGTAAATGCTATGGTTGTTGATGAGCGTGATTCTACCACGGGCTGTGATGAAGAGCATGATTATCAGCCTCCATTTGCAAATAACATTGTTGATGCCACAAGAGCTGTATGGAAAGCCTTGGGGGTGCCAATGAATGACTGGGGCGAGTTGGATATTACTTGGTCTGATTCCTAGGCCACAACTGTTTGAATGTATTTTCAACCTATAATCTTCTCTCGTCTTTCTCTTTCTCTTTATTTCTATTTTTTCCTTCTGCTGTATCCAAGTGCTGAATGTAACAGGAATTAATCGTACAGTTTAGCTATAACTGCTACAATTCTTTCTGATCTGCTCTTAATACATCAGATTAAAACTAAAAAGCACAATTTCTCACTTTCTGAAGTTGTAAGATGATGACACTAGCACAAAGCCACAAACAAACAATCGAAACTAGGAGCGTAAGAGTTCATATCATCTTAAAACTCATTAAAATCTTAATCGAGTGTCAATGATAACATTGAACTACCTCATCTGATAGCTTACGCCATTAAAGGACCACATGTATTTAGTTAAATAAACTCTTCAGCATGCTCCATTTTGTGCAAATTGAATTCATTATTTAACAAAAGCTTTACACATGCAAAACTTTTGAGAACACTTAGCCCTGGTTCGAGCCCCATTATAATGAGATTGGGCAAATTTTTTTGCTGCCACTGTCGGCCTGCATTGATTGACGGTGCAGGTAAGTTGAAGCAAGTAATTGTCTTCACTTGACTTTTGAAGTATCATGGCGGTCCATAATTTGGCATTCCCATCTCACCCTCAAATACATCAGTGATGAAAATAATTTGCAACTATGATTGCATGGGTATTTCTGGGAACAGAATTATGAAAGTAAGGGTGTAATGGTCTTTCAATTTTAAATGGCATCAGTCAAAAATCTCTCATCTGACAAGTGTACTATGCCATCAAAATTTTTCAATGTCGAAGTCACCGTTGAAAATTGTGAATTCTCATTTTAAAGAGATTCAAACAGGTACTTAGCAACTATACAGTTCAATTTTTTAGAAAATACAAACAACCAAGTTACGTTTCACCATAAACCAAATTTGCAGCGTGGAATGTAAATGTTGTTGGTGTTACGCCTCGATTATTCGCGCCTCGATACCGAAATGCCATCTCACCACTGAGGCCGAGATCAAGTAGACCCTACGTAGCACCATTTACTCCGACCTGAAAACGACCCTCCCGAAGCTTCTCCGAAGTGATATATCGATTCCTACTACTGATCTGCCGAAACATCTCACCTCCAAGGTCGAGATCAAGTGGACCCTGGTTAGAAGATCCGCTTCCAATTTAAGATTTGTCTTGCACCTAAGGCTTAAATTGATTTGACGTCTTCATGATGCTATTTGATGTGACTTATCAACTTTATGTCAATTCAACTCGGGGGAAACAAACTGTCCGCCCACTCTACAAGCGCGGCTGATTGACGCCTATGGGCAGACGCTTCATACCGTCAGATGTACACACGCGTTCCACATCCAGCGGTTCATACCACCTATAAACACCTAAGGTTTGGCAAGAGGCGAAGGTAATGAAACTCTCAATACATAGCATTCCAGAACAAGTTTATATATTCTCCTCCCCCTTTATTGATTGATTTGTGTAGCCCCTGGGCACTGTTCCGACCACCCAAACCTGACTTGACCGTCGGAGTGTATACGGTCGCCACCACCCCCGTCGGTTCCGGCCGTGTGCGCCTGACCGTTTGTTCATTTCGTAGGGAGAAATACGTGGAGTAGCTATAAGTTAGCCACGTGGAGGAGCCATTTTTGGAGGTCAACAGTATACGGCCACCACCACCCCTGTCGGTTCCGGCCGTGTGCGCCTGACCGTTTGTTCATTTCGCAAGGAGGAATACGTGGAGTAGCTATAAGTTGGCCACGTGGAGGAGCCATTTTTGGAGGTCAACAGTTTGGCGCCGTCTGTGGGAAACTCACTCCCCATTTGAAGTTTTGCGTTCCCCATCGGAGAAGACACCGAAAAACCGGCGACTGACCCTGAAAAGGGGGTATTCTTGAAAAAGAACAAAGTCGAATTACAATCCAAGTTCTTACTACCCTTAAAAAAAAAAAGGTAGGATGAGCTACAGCCGTGAAGACAATCCCATGAGAGAGGCCTCTGAAGAAGAGGTACTCCATAACAATGTTACTCATCAGAAACCGCATCACCGGCGTCGACGAGGCGAAAGAACAGCCATACTCACTGAACGAATGGCCCAAATAGCTGCGGGTATGAGAGACATAGCAGCTCAGAATATGGCGATGCGGGAACTTCTCATGCAAGCCCAGGGACACCAGAGGCCCCAAGGATCTTATCCGGTACAGGAAATCCCTTTGTCTCACTCTCGAGGCCACATGAGCCGGCACACAGAGCGTCTTCTCGAAAGAGAGGGGAACACCGAAGCGACATCTTATGTGCAAGAGAGTCATCCATCAGAACCACTCTTGGGGGACAACTTTCCTCAAGAACACGATGACCAGAGGTCAGTGAGGGTCTTCGACCGGATAGGGAACGATCCTAGCAATAGGGTCCACCCGGCAAGAGGGTCGGTCCGGTCAGACCGCGAAGAAGAGCAAGTTCCCCCTCCTCCTAGAAATAGGAGGGAGAGGAGAAATTTAGTCGATTGGGGAAGCCGGGGAGAAGCACCTCCTCCACCCCAAGACATCCAAGATGATGAAGGATCAGAGGGGCCTTGTCGATCTTATGAGATTGACGACGATGACGATAACCTCCCTTTCTCAGGGAAAATTCGAAGCTTCCCAATGCCAACTAACTTCATGCCCCCTAAGATCCCCAAGTATGAGGGAAAAGGGGATCCGGAGAAGCACCTCACAAAGTATATAACACAAATAAGTCTTAGGGGAGCCTCACCTGCTCTAAAGTGCAGAGCCTTCCATTTAACACTAGGTGGAGCCGCCGAGGTGTGGTACAGCAGGCTTCCTCCCCTAAGCATCAGAAGTTGGCCAGACTTGAAGAAAGTATTTTTGAACCAGTACCTCTCACGCAGGGAAGGAGAGGCGCCAATTCAACGCCTGCAAGACATGAGGCAGGCCCCTGGAGAGACGCTGAAAAGCTATCTCGCCGGTTTACAGACGAAATTACTTACTGCGAGCAGGTCACTGACAGGAAAGCCCTTTCAGCCCTGAAAGGTGGTCTCAACATGAACACTTTGTTTTGGAGGGACGTGTGCAGCAAAAATCCCTCCACATACGACAAGCTGGTGGAGATGATGAGAGTGGAAATTATTAGTGAAGAAATGATTGATCATCGCAACCATGCCGCGCAGGGACTCCCTTCCCCATAGAGGCAGGTAGGTCGAGGCCTCGTAGCGCACCTTGTTACTCAGCAATGGACCCAAGCAGGGCATACCATAGCTCCCACATCTGGACAGGCCCTAGCTTCCACCACATTGAACGCAGTGCCGGTGTTGGCATATGATAACGCACCCGTTGAGGCAGGACCATCTGGAAGAACTGACAACAAGAAGAAGAAGAAAAAAAGGCCAAATAGGCCCTTGACAGGAGCAAGATTTTGTACTTTCCATCAACTATACGGGCATGACACCAGTAAGTGTCGTGATGCCAATCGGCGCCCTGATCGAAGCAACCCCCACACTTCCAGCAGAAACGAGCACCCCCGCAGATCCACCTCCCCGAGGAGGGGAGGAAGAGGTCACCAAGAACAATCTCCTCACAGAAGAGAATCGAGAAATCGAGGCCAATCCAGGCAAGGGAACCAAGCCCAATTCGCTGGAGGCCAGGTCATCAGGGAAATCGATACCATCATTGGGGGACCCTACGTCGGTGGCAACACCAGGAATGCCCAGAGAAATTATACAAGAGAAGCTAAGGATAGCCCGATGATCACCTACATTGTCGACGAATCGAAATCAGCAAACAAGATGGCCCCAATCACCTTCTCCCAGGAAGACTCGGAGGGAGTTCACCATTCCCATTGCGACGCTTTGGTTGTAAGAGCCGTAGTGGCTAGAAACAGATTGAAACGCATGCTCGTTGACAATGGCAATTCCGTGAACATATTGTTCGGATCCACTTTTGACAAAATGAAAATTAAACATGGATTAATCCCCATGACCGACCCACTGTTCGGATTCACTGGGGACATCATCATCCCACGAGGGCGGATCACCCTGCCTGTGGAAATGGGTTCGGCCCCCCTGGTCGCCCAGCATTTCATGAAATTTCAAGTGGTAGATCATAGGTCGGCTTATCATGGAGTATTGGGCAGACCCGCTCTAAAAGATCTTTGGGCTGTGACATCCATTCACTATCTGTGCATGAAATTCCCAACTGAACATGGGATTGCAATAGTCCGGGGCGATCAGATGGGCTCCAGGGCATGCTACCTAAACTCGCTGCGTAAACCTGAGCCCCGAACTGTCAATGTAATCCTAGCCGAAGTACCCGCTGAAGCCGGTACGGACGTGGAAATGCTCGACGTCCCTGAACAAGGGCATACCTCTGAACAAGAGGAAGATGTTGTCATGGCAGAGGCCCCTGAACAAGGACACCCTCTTGATGAGTTAGACCCCCGAATAATCGATTATGAACCAAATGCGACCCCCATGGAAGAACTAGAAACTTTCCTAGTCAATCCAGAAGACCCCAATCAAGTCTTGCGCATAGGGAAGTCATTACCGCCTGAAGCAAAAATTGAGATGATACAATTTCTGAAAGAAAACCTGGATGTCTTCGCATGGAAACATGAAGATATGATGGGAATAGATCCTAGGATCAGTTGCCATCACCTTAACATCAACCCCTCCTATGCCCACCATAGACAGAAGAGGCGTGCCCTGAACCCAGAACGGTACGAGGCGCTGAAAGACGAAGTAAGTAAACTTAGCCGCAGTGGTTTCATCAGAGAGGCCATATATCCGAGGTGGATATCCAACCCGGTTCTGGTGAAAAAGTCCAGCGGGAAGTGGAGGGTCTGTGTGGACTTCACAAACCTGAATAAGGCGTGTCCCAAGGACAGCTTTCCACTTCCAAGAATTGATCAACTGGTGGACTCCACTGTTGGGCATGGACTACTGAGTTTCATGGATGCGTACTCAGGGTACAACCAGATACCCATGTTCCGACCTGATGAGGAAGCTATATCATTCATTACGGACAGGGGGCTGTATTGCTACAAAGTTATGCCCTTCGGATTGAAAAATGTTGGGGCCATATACCAGAGGTTAGTCAACATGATGTTTGCCGAACTCATTGGCAAAACCATGGAGGTCTACGTGGACGACATGTTGGTCAAAAGCCTCCAGGTGGCCGAACACGTGAGTCACATTGACC